CCAGATGGGTGCTCCTGGCTCAGCACCGGCCTTGCCATGGGTGCTCCTGGCTCAGCACTGGCCTTGCCATGGGTGCTCCTGGCTCAGCACCAGCCTTGCCAGCCGTCTGGGGAGTAAACTAGCAGATGGAAGCTCACTCTGTCTCCTTCCTCCCTGCTTTGTGACTCTTTCAAGAATTCATGTTGTTTTAAAAAAAAAAAAATTTTAACGACAAGGAGAAAGCGCCCAGTGGGACCCATCTGACTGTACGATGGTGGGTTTTGTAAGGCTCAGTGAGGTGGAACCCCACAATTAGCAGAACCCCCGTCTGTCTGCCTGAGCCCCGCCCCAGGGTGCACCTGCCACGGAGGGCTCGGGGTTCTCCCTTGGGAAGGCCCTCGAGTGTCCCCCCGTCTGTATGTAGGGCAGGGACGCCCAGCTGTCCCCTTGGAGCGGGTCGCGTCTCAGCAGGATACATTCTTGTTCCTCAAGGTGCCCACGAGGCGTGGCCCTGGCGTGGCTGCCCGAGACAGCGCTGGGTTTATCCAAGTCTATGGGGGAGCTGGCACTTCTGCTGAGCCAGTAGCCCAGGATGGTGGAATTGCTGGGGACTCCCCGGGGGGATTCGAATATGCAGGGGGTTGTGGTACACAGCCTCTCAGCCACGGTGGTCTTCACATCCATGAGGATGTGGGAGAGAAAGCCTGTGGGAGAGACGCAGGTTGTACAGCAGGCACATCCAGTGCCGCACCTGTGCCCCGACAGCTTCACCTGGCCTCAGCACCTGCCCAGCTCCCGGGAGGTGAGCTCTGGGCTCTTAGAATGGCCCACTTGATGGTTTCTGCTTTCCCTGGAGAGGCAGGTTTCCCTGCCCAGTCTCTGCCAGCAGTGCCACGATAAAAGCCCTGTGCTCAGGTTTGACCAGCTGCCCTGCCCGGCGGAGCGTTGTCCACACCACCACATGTTGCTGCTGGGAGGATCAGGCACAGCCTGCAGGACACTGTGATGGCCAAGGGCGGCCAGGAGCCTGCCACCAGTCCACCTGCCTCCTCTCCCGCCCCTCCCCGTGTCTCTGCCACCAGTCCACCTGCCTCCTCTCCCGCCCCTCCCCGAGTCCCTGCCACCAGTCCCTGCTGCCTCCTCTCCCGCCCCTCCCCGTGTCTCTGCCTCCAGTCCCTGCTGCCTCCTCTCCTGCTCCTCCCCGTGTCCCTGCCACCAGTGCCTTTGCCATCTAACACTGTGCCCCCTTTGCTGTCACAAACTGTCACAGACCTGCCAAGTGCGGAGAGCTACTGGGCAGGACAGTGGTCTTGGGAATTGCCCAGTGGCACCAGCCCAGCCTGGTCTGCTTGCTGATGGGTTGTGGTTGGTGTTGTGTGTCGTCGGAGACCTTCGCCACCACCCCCACCTCGTCTCTGGGTCTGCTTCCCGGTCAGAGAAAGCAGTGCGGTGACACTGACCCGTGAGAGCTGCGGGCAGAAGCTAAAGGCGGTGCTGCCTGCGCCGGCTCTCACACACTGCCCCGCGCCTTCACATGAAGCTTTTACTATTGTCCCCTAGACGCTGCAGAAGCAAGGACTCGGTGGGACTCAGAGCCTGGCCCCGGTCAGTTCTCCGAGTCGTCACCCCCTCGGGTCTCAGCACACGTGGCCGTGGCTCAGCGTGGGACATCTCCTCTGTGGTGTGGGAAGCCCCCACACAGGGCAGGGTGCTGAGAGGGCAGGGGTGGGTCATGGTGGTGACCTGATTTCCAGAGGGACAGGCGGGGTCACAGACATGGCATCAAGATAAAGCAGACGAGCCAGCCAGCTGGCCAGCATTGTGGGGGGTTCCAGGCAACTTGCTCACGAGGCTGGTAAAGCTGTACTGTGATTTGTGCCAAGGGGCAGCTTGGTCGAGAGCAGGCCACCCACCACTGCACAGAACACGCCCGCGAGCAGCGCCTCCCGCCTCCTGCTGGCATTCACACCTCCTCCCCCCCCTGCTGTCCCTCCCCGCCCGGCTGTCTCTCCCCACCCGGCTGTCCCTCCCCGCCCCGCTGTCCCTCCCCGCCCCGGCTGTCCCTCCCCGCCCCGGCTGTCATCACACTCACCCAGGCCTAGCAGCGACAGTGCCATGGACCTCACGGACAAGAGGCAACCGGGGTGTCTCCTGCTGCTGCAAGTGAGAAATCTGCGGGACCCTGAAAAGATGTGCAAGAGCCGTCTGAGGTGTGGCTTCCACCAAGTTACAAGGCGCATTGGTGCAACCACGCACGACCACCAGCCGTGGGGTGACCCTTCCGTTCATTCCTGCTTTTCTGGTTTGATTTGGTCTTTGCTGGCAGCCAGAACTCCAGTGAGGTTTTGCACGTTAACTATGTCTTCTGAGCCCACTACGTTCACGCAATTACCCTGGCTTGATTCTTCGGGGTTTTCCATGGACATTAGTCGTATCCCTGTGAACCCATGCCATCATTACTTCGTGACAGGGTTATCCCTTCCTGAATGAAATTTATTTTTAAAAAAGATTTAAATATTATTTATTTATTTTTGGAAAGGCAGATATTCAGAGCGGAGGAGAGACAGAGGGGAAGATCTTCTGTCCAATGATTCACTCCCCAAGTGACAGCCGCGGCCGGAGCTGAGTCCATCCGAAGCCAGGAGCCAGGAGCTTCCTCTGGGTCTCTCACACAGGTGCAGGGTCCCAAGGCTTTGGGCCGTCCTCCACTGCTTTCCCAGGCCACAGGCAGGGAGCTGGGTGTGAAGTGGAGCAGCTGGGACATGAACCAGCACCCGTATGGGATACCAGCACTTGCAAGGGGGAGGATTAGCCATTTGAGCCCCTGCACCCGGCCCCAAAATTGGGCAATCTTTATCTTTCAATGAATCTATCAGTGCATAAAGTTACTTGTAGGTTTCTTAATTCTTTCCATGTCTTTGAGATCTATCTTTAGACACATTCATTGCTGGTAAATGTCATTTGTCTTCTTTCTTGATGGGTTGGCCCAAGGTGGAAGAGTTTTACTGCATCTTTCCAAAGGGCAGGCGTGTTCCTCCATTTTGTCCATTGAGGTGACGATGCTTGGCGTGCGCAGCTTGCTGCTCACACACTGGGTCTGCGGGAATGTCTCCAGGGAAGACTGGCTAGCTGCACATCTACCGTCCCCAGTGTGGGCGGGCCTCGCCAATCCACTGGCACCTCAGACAGAATGGAACCGCCACGGCAGGCACTGAGCCTGAGCCGGCACTGTCCCCTCCTCCCGCCTCGGGATGCTGAAGCTGTTCGACCTCGAGCCATCGAGCTTGGGTGTGTGTGCCCTGTTGCCCTGGCTGTCCAGCCTGCAAGGATTGCGGGACATCGCCCTGCATTCCATGGAAGGGAGGGCCCCGCTCCTTCCCCACTCCCATCTTCCCAAATTTTTAAAACTTATTTGGAAGTGTGAGACAAGGAAATAAACGGAGGAGGGGGAGGAGGGACAGAGAGAGAGAGGAAAAAATCTTCCGTCTGCTGGTTCACAAACGGCCGCAGCAGGCAGGGCCGGGTCAGACTGAAGTCAGGCCTCAGGAACTTCATCCGGGTCTCCCACATGTGAATCATGGACAGAAGATCTTCCTCTCTGCCTCTCCTCCTCCCTGTAGATCCGCCTTTCCAATAAAAATAAATAAACCTTTAAAACAACAACAAAAAGGAAGTAGAGGCGGACTCAAACCCAGACACCCCACACACAGGATGTGGGCTCCTAAGTGCCCCTCTTTTTCTTGATTTTAGGTCTTTCTATAGATGCTGGTTTCTATAGATTTTAGCTACTGAAAAGCACAACTTATAATGTGCTAAACAAACAAGGCTTTATTCCCTTCCTACCTCTCCTAGAATCAGAGGTTGGCGTCCAACTGAGAAGTTAGATAAATTTAACGGTTCCGTGCTTCAAGAATCAGACTGAATTCACAGGATCGCTTGCATATCATAACTCAAGAGGAGCTGGATGGGGAGACGTGGGGGCCACGTGGGGAGGGGTGTGGCGCCTCCGTGCCCTCACTCCTGCTCCATGCCCTCACCCCTGCTCCATGCCCTCACCCCTGCTCCATGCCCTCACCCCTGCTCCATGCCCTCACCCCTCCTCCATGTGCCGCAGTGTGGAAGGTCCCAGAAGCCGGTCCTTCCAGGATCTGACCAGCTCCTTTACACACACCTGTCAGGACGTTCTGAGCTTGGCCATTTCCTCACCAGAAAACAGCCGCTGCTGGTCCAAAATAGTTCAGGATTTTCAAACCGGTGCCGCAGCACAGCACGCTCCTATAGGAAGCTTTTAGTACCCCATATAAAATTGATAGTGGTCAGATTCTTGGCTCCTTCTTAACAGAATCAGACCTGACAAGCCCTCGCTGTCCCCATCTGTAAAATGGGAGCATTGTCACTGAGGAGGCTGTAACGGCTCATCTGCCAAGCCTGATTCCCTTCCCCAAGCCCTGGCATATCTTCCCGCAGCCCACCCAGACTCAGGTGCCAAGCACACCAACTCAGGCTTCCTCCGCACCGTTCCTGGAAAGCCAGAAGTCCACCAGCATTTCTGCTAAGCGCATCTGGGGAGTAGGGCTGATCTCACAATGCAAGAAACAGTGATGGGAGAACTTACCTCCCAGAGGCACCGACTGGACTGATTTAACGGCTAAGAACCCCCCACGGGCACGCGGAATAACCATGCGCACGACCACCACCGAGTGACCCACGGCGGCCAAGAGTGACTAAGGAAGCTGGAGGGAAGCCACCGATTAACTGGCCAGTTTCTGAGTGACTTACCAGGCCCCAGAAGTTTCCACGATATCCTGCCAGCCAGGGGTAACACAGGGATACCATCCCGGAGTCCTGCCCGCACGGGAACGCCAACGAGTGCCACGCGCAAGGCTCCACGCTGCGCGGGAGCCGCCGAGAGGGGAGGGGCCACGAGGAGCTAGCCAGTCTCCACCCCTCCATCCGTGAACCGCCTGGTAGTGGGAGACCCCCAGCCCGTCCAGAGCGTGGTTTTTCTAGAGTAGATGGTTCTAGACTCCTGCCAGCCTTCTAGACTCCAGGCCGGTGTAGGGACGCTCCTCCGTCCGCTCACACTGCGTGGAAGCCAGAGGGAGAGCCGGGTTGGTAGGAGGCCTTGCCCCGAGGAACGAAATGGCCGCTGCACCGCTCCCTGGAGCGATCCGGAGTCGCCTCGGTGCTCTGCTTGTTCAGGCCCCTGTCGCCAATGAGACGCACGAGGAACCCCTGGCTCTCCGTCCCCACGACCTCAGCCGCGAGCTCTTTTCCATCTGTCACCCATTCCTCTGGGGCTGCTTTCCCAGACCTACGGCACGCCGTCCTCTCAGTCTGGTCATAGGCTTCGTTCGTGAGAACACATACCAAACTCATTCTGGAACTTTCTGTCCTGAATTCAAAACCTGTGTCATGTAAGAGTCGCACTAAGTGGGCCTGAGCGTGCTTATTCAGAATTGCCAGGCACAGGCTGCGAACCCCTCCACCAGCGGAGTCCTTGAGGCCCTGCGCTGCGCTGGGCTCCCACCTCTGGCCTGGACCCCACAGTGTCACTTTCTCAGGCGTCTGCTCTGACTTGAACCCAAAGATCTTCTTTTCTCACACTGTTCTGTCCTTTCCCTTCCTAGCATTTACTCACATCTCTCTCTCTTTTTAATATTTATTTATTTTTATTGGAAAGTCAGACATACAGAGAGGAGGAGAGACAGAAAGATCTCAGTCGGTTGACTCACTCCCCAGGCAGCTGCAATGGTCGGAGCTGAGCCTGATCTGACACCAGGAGCCAGGAGCTTCCTCTAGGTCTCCCACACGGATGCAGGATCTGAAAGCTCTGGACAGTCTTTTACTGCCTTCCCAGACCACAAGCAGGGAGCTGGGTGGGAAGCGGGGTCGCCGGGATTAGAACCGGTGCCAATATGGGATGCAAGGCAAGGACTTTAGCCACTAGGCTGCTGCGCCAGGCCCCACCCACAGCTGCATTTCTGTGTACCTGTGTCGGGGCAGGGCCAGCGGCTTGCTCCTTCTCTTCATTACTGGTCTAGGATGCATAGATACTGTTCCCCACTGCCCCTCAGGAAAGACACAGCCCTCTCTGTTCACCCACTGAAAATGACCCATCTGGCTCCAGGAGGAAGGTTGTTCCTCTGTGGAGGACAGTACACAGCCATGGTTAACACTAGCATCCCAGATCTCACAGCCAAAGAATCAACAACCCCCTGACTAAGCTCTCGGCTGACAGTGTCACGTCTTCCGTACGGGTCTGGGGTTCCCATTCACGCCTTTCTCCTTCACATATCTGTCACTTCGCTTTGCTTCAGAATATCCAGCGGGTCAGAATGTACTTATTTATTCAGTTATTTAACAAACCTTTTTGAGAACGGGTTATATTGTAGGCACCACACAGGGTGTTAGTGACAAACCAGGGATGGTCTCCGCTCTTGTGCGACAGAAACAAAGCAATCAAGCATGAGTTCCCGCGAGGTCAGGCTCCAATCCCTTATGCGGGGGTGGGGGGATAGGTTTTAGCCAAAGTCACACGGCCGCTAAGCACTGAAGTTGGGGTTCTGTACAAACGAAATGGCGTCAAAGCCAGGAAGTCTGACGTGTGACCATCACACACTGGGGCTCAAACGCCACTTCCTGCCAGAATGTGTCACGGCTGCACATATATGTTCCCTTCCTTTGACGCCATTCAATGGTGAGACATATTTCTTCTGGCTAATTCCAACAACAGACTGGGGGGGGGGGTGGTCTGCCTTTGCAGATCTCAAGGAAGCGATGGAAGGGGCACAGGGCTTTGTGGGCTGAGACTCTGGGGGCTCCAGGTTGATTACAGATTCTGGGATTTCTGGGAAGTCTGTCCAGGTTTTGTGGACTTGGGTAATCTCAGCGTTATTGAGGACCCCCGGCATGATGCAGCTTCCGTGGTTGAGTCGGCTCCAGTTTAGCTTGCTTTTCCTGGAAGGGAAGTTCAGAGGTAAGGGAGGGGGGAAGGAAGGAAGGATGCCGGAGGAGATCTACAGGACGAGGTGCCAAACCTTAGAAGGATGCACCTGTGGCCACAGAATTAAGACTCGTGGAGGAGGCACTGGTTGAACCTTCTCTGCAACCGTGCCCTCTCACTCTGATCTTCACGACTACCCCTCCTCACAGGACATTGTGGCTCTAGCTATCCTTCAACTTATTTCTCCTGATTTCTGCCTCTCTTCCCCTCTGCTTGGCTCCAACAGCTATGAGATGATCTGCAGGCACAGCCTTGGCTTCCGGGCATCCTGCAGGTCATCCTGAGAATGACCGTGGCCTCGCAGCACTGGACAGACCACTGCCCAGGGGTCTTGTGCACGTGATGCTCAGACCCCTCGGTACCTACCAGCATCTGGCTCTCAGAGGAGGGTGCCGTTATGGATTCTCCCGTTTCCTTGCGCTTCAGAGACTTCTTGCGTCCTTGGCTTGCTCTAGCTCGAGCCTGCTCCTTTGGTTTGATGGCTGTGGTTGTCTGCGCCTGAGTCACTCTGATGTATTTCACTCTAAGGAGAGAAGCTTTTGGTCAGCTGTGACTCTCCCATCTCCCCCAAGTCCCCAGACGGGCTCTGCTTTTGATCAGAGAAGCCAGTCTAGCTCTGAGCCTGAGCAGCACGACCCTGCTTGCTGGGTTGTCAAAGAAAATCCATACCACCTCTCCGGGAACACGATAAGGGTGCCCTGCCTAGCGGACTATGGGAGCTCAGTTTAGACCAACTGCAAAAGGGTCACACGGAGATGGTCATTAGTCTCCAAGTCCAGTTAACCACACTTCGGAAATGGCTCCTTACTGCGCCCTGCCATGTCTTTCTCAACAACTCTTTCCCTTAGCAAAGGCCTGCATCTTTCCTGCTTCCTGATTCTGGCACCAGCTCCCTGCCTGCCTCTGGCCGAGTCTCTCTGCTCTGTTTTGTTCCCTAAGCTCAGGTTTTCCTTCCCAGCTGGGTGAGTTGTCCCCTGTGGCTCCCACCGGAAGATACAGCCCATGCCTTCCGGACTGGCCAGTGTTTCTTCTGCTGACTTTCTGATCTGACCTCCAAGGAGTCTGGCCTTGTCACTCCAGGCTTCCAGCCAATGTACTCGGACAAGTTTCCAGGAGCCTCATGAACAAACATCAAGCATCTTTGTGAACCTCTCTTTCAGCTTTCACCTGCCACTATCAATAAATCTGATGTTACACAGACTGGAAGTGGCTCAAGGGTTAGCTTCTGGCTTTTGCTAATTTCCAATGAGTCAGTGAGAACTCGGCTCTACAGGCCTGCCTGGAACAGCATCTGGGGCACATCTCCAGGCTTCCTCGGGCCACCGTGTCCCCCCTTGGCCCTCCTTTGTTCTGCAAGTCTCAGTCCTGATGGACCTGGATTCTGGTGGTCGTGTTGGAAGTCCTCCTTGACTTCTGAAATCCTGAGATCCTTGAGGGTGTGTGTGTGTGTGTGTGTGTGTGTGTGTGAATGTATGGCGGAGGTGGGGGGAGTGCCAGAATAGCTGGTACTATCATCATAATCTGCACAGCCTACAGAGAAGCCTGTGGATGCATTTCAGTTTCCATGAGACCCCCAAAAGCTCATGTGGTAGACACTGAATCCCCAAAGATGTTTATGGTATTTGCAGCTGGAAAGCGATTTGGATTAAATGAAGCCACGATAGTGCCAACAATGATGGCATTCGTGGTTATGTAGGAAGCAGAAGCCCAAGCTAGCACCCTTGCCCTGTCTTGCCGTGTGATGCCTTCTGCCACGTCAAGCCGACCCAAGCAGATGCGAGCACCACACTCTTGGTCTCTGACCTCCATGACCACACACCAGATTGCTTTCTAGTCTTTATAAATGACTCGGTCTCGAGTGGTTTTATTTTGACAACAGCGAATGGACCAAAACCATACTATACTCACATGATGGGGAGGAGGCAGAGAAAGAGCAGTGCGACGGCAAGGGTTCCGTAGACAACGCCCTTGAGCAGCCCTTTCAGAAAGAGCTGGGGAGCCCAGGGGCTCCTTCCTGAAGACAGAGAGCGAGTGAGGAGGGCTTCTTTCCCAAGACCTCTGACATGAAGCCCAAACCCTGCTCCTTCCTCCTGTCCGAGCACCAGCCCCTGCCCCCTGAACCCCCTCCACTCCCACCTGACATCAGCAGGATGCTCAGAGCATGGACTCCATTGTGGTTCCTCCCCTCGCAGAGAAGGCTCGAGCCTGCTGCTGGCTTCTCACTCAGTCTGACAGTGCTGTTGGCCCAGGGCTCAAGCACAATGGAAGTCACGTTCAGGCTCGCGTTCGTGTTGCTCGCACTCACGGGGGTGCCTCCCAGCAGCCACCACTGCACAGAGGGTGTGGGGACCCCACGGAAGGAGCAGCTGCACTGCAGTGTCTTCTTCTCCCAGGAGCAGGAGGAGTTGAGCAGCCTGGCAGGTGCTGGGGGAGGAGGGCGTCCAGAAGGCACGCTGCTTGCCTTCTCTGCTTCCGCAGGACTCAGCTTTCCCTCAGCGACTCAGAAGGAGCTTCAGAAAGACCTTCTAGAATAGAATGGAATCTAGGATCTTCTACCATCTGTCCTGAATATGAACATTCAGCCTTCTCTAGACCATCTAGTGACTGCTGTGGCGCTTTCTGAGTAACCACATTTAGAGCATGGATTCGGTTTGGTGCCTCGCCTACAGGGAAGGCTCATGCCTGCTGCTCGCTGCACTGTTTCTACAAGCAGGAAGCAGCAGGACTTCCCACCACGCAGTAAGTATCGTGGATGAATAAGGAGATGTCCCATTCCTCGGAGAGTCCTACAGTGGTCTTTCACGCTTCATGAGGGCTGAGGCTACTGGGAGAAGGAAGGGCCGGGCTGATTCGCCCCGAACTAGTCCCGAACCACTGGACTTTCCTTCTGGCGTACTTGGGGGAGCTGAGGAATGTGTAAGAACGCTGCGTGCACAGCCCCCACTCCGCTGCTATCCTCGGATCCATTTTAATCAAATGAGACAACACGCCCATGGAGATTCTGAAAAACAGACTAACTCGGGGCTTCCACTCAGGCAGCCCCCTGTGCTCACGCGTTCATGCTCCTCCAGGCGGACCCTCCCCCAGTCTCACTCCCATCCACCCCAGCCCTGCAGAACCAGGCGCTGAGCCGGCCAGCACGCACTGGCTATCTGGTATGTGTGCCCCTTGTGGGCTCTGTCTTCCCATCCCACTCACAGCCACCCTCAGACAGCACAGCCCTGCTTCCCGTCCCACTCACCTGGCTGTCCGCGTGGAAGCCCCATCTGCCACAGCGGCTGTAAGGAAGCAGGAGGAACCCTGGCTGTGCTGGCTGTGACACCACAACCGGATGGTTCAGGAGTGAGGCGGTGGGGCAGCCAGGGCAGAAGCGTCCGTTTCTTGGGTCATCCCGAAGGCCTGTTGACCTGGTGAAGGGAGAAGCGTCAGGAGCCAGTGGGAACAGGGAGGCGCTGCCACAACCCCCGAGAAGCATCGCGCCAGGCACGCCACAGCTGCACCCAGCCTCGAGATGACATTGTAGCCTACGACTAGACCAACGACTGGGGGGAAAGAAGTTGATGTTATCTTTCCCATCTCCCTCCATTGATCACAGTGTATTTTCATAAGAGACTTTGCTTAACTTAGCCTGGCTACGGTACCAGGCCTCAGCAGCACGTAGGCTGGGGCAGCAAAAACCCCAAAGCAGGCCAGGCGCTGGGACTGCATTGTGAGCCCCGTGCCCCTCGGTGTGTTGGTGCCCACCCTATGACACCCAACACTCCACCTCCCTCGCTCTACCGCCCTGCCTTGTGTGTCCTTCCCACGGGTTCAGCCCCTCGGGACTGGGGGAGAGGTCTGTGTATCTGTGAGGTATGGGTGGGTGGGACTACCCTCACAGGTGACACAGACTGCATCTGAGTATACAAGAGAATGCTTGTCATGTGTACACACTGTGAAGTGACCACACTGAAGTGAACTGACACACCTGCCCTGTCCATTCCCCACACGGTCACCTGTGTGCGCAGCAGGAAGACTTGGCAAAGATAAGGGTGCAGTACCGATACCCTACAGCCACCCAGATTCCGCTGGGGTTCCAAAGCTCTGTTTTCTCAGAAATGAAATGTGACCCTAAAGCAGCCTACCCAACCACTATGCGTCATCAACCCAAGGGCTGGTGACAGACGAGCCCACCTTCCCGGAAGCCCAGGACCTTCACCCAGATCGCCAGGGTCGCCAGGAGACCCTGCACTGCCTGGTGACCCGATCAGCCAATCAGCAGCCACACACACTACTGCACGACCAATCAGCAAGGCCATTGGAACTCTGCCGCCCGGCCTGCGCCAATCAGTGTCGGTGGGCGGTGCCGTCCGCGTTTGGCGGCAACTGTCCTCTCAGCGAGGTCTGACGGAAGCAAACCACAAGCTTCCGGTCCGGTGCCTTTCTCGGTTAGGTGCTTTCATGACCGATCGAATCTGCTTATTAACTAGGTCTATTCGGAGTTTGTGTTTCTTCAGGATTCAGCCTTGGGAGCTTTCGTGTTTGTAGGAATTTGTCCATTCATCTAGATTATTCTATTTGCTGGTGGATGATGGTCCATTTGCAATTTGATGCTTTTTCTCAGCCTGGCTAAAAACTGGTCTTCTCAAAGAACCAACCTTTTGTCGATTTGCTTTGCTGGTTTTCTGTCTCCTGTTTTATTTGTCTGCATTCTCATTTTCATTATTTCTCCCTTTCTGTCAGCTTTGGATTTAATTTTTTTTTCTTCCTAGTTCCTCAAGCTGTAACATTAGGCTATTGATTTGAGATCTATCTTCGTTTTTAGATGCGTTACAGCCGTAGAGTTCTCTCTCGGCACTGTTTGTGCTGCATCCACACATCTCAGTGTGCTGTGGGTTTGCTTTTCATTTCTCACAAGCTATTTCCTAATTTCCCTCGTGATTTCTTCCTCAATCCATCAGTTGTTTGAGTTCGGTTTCCATATATTTGTGAATTTCCATTTTCCTTCCTTTATAGACTTCTAGTTTCATTTCAGCGTGATGGCAAAAGATGTTGTGTAGGATTTTAATCTTCGAGAATTTGTTAATACTTGTTTTGTGGCAAATAGGAGACTTTACAACAGTCTCCCTCCTGCATTGCAATAATTCTTTTGGATAAAATCTCTCCTTACCTTAGTCTAGATTTGTTTATTTAAATTAAGGCAGGTACACACACAGATCTCCCACCTGCTGGTTCGCTCCCTGAGGGCCTGTTACAGCCAGCACTGGGCGTGGCCGGAGTCGGGAGCCAGGAGCTCCGTCTAGGTCTCCCACTGAGCAGCAGGGACCAGGCACTTGCGCCATCATCCACTGCATCGTACTTGAAGCTGGAGGAGAAGCAGGGGAGCCGGGGGAGTCAGCCCAGCACTCCAGTATGGGCTGTGGGGGTCCCGCACAGTCTAAGCCACTGTTACCACAAAGCCTGTCCCAGCTCAGAAAGCTTTCATGTTCAAGTTCCCTTTGTGCCACAAAGAGCGTAATACAGTAGAACAGAATGAGAACAGACTTGGGGTTCCCCAAGGCAGCCTTCATATGTGTAACGTAAAGGAGCCAAAACACACACACTGAATGGTTTTTGTTTTGTTTTGTTTTGCAACTGTCCAGGCGCAAAGGACGGTGTTTGTGGTAACCTTGAAAGGAACAATCCGGGGACACTGGTCATTCCGGCTCATTGGCCAGTGTGAGCCTGGTGAGGTCAAACTCCTGAGTCTCTATCTCTTCAGGGCTTCATTGGACCACGACAGGCATCTGGCACTGCCCGGAGACATCTTTGGATGTCTAAAGCAGGCAAGGCAGGGAACTGGCATCTCACAAGTTCGAGGTCTGGGATTCTGCTCAACCTCCCACATCGTACAGCCTAGCCACACCACCTCCACAGACTGAAGAATCCTCCCACCGCCACAGCCCAAGGTCAATAGCATTGAGGTGGACAATACCCACTCTGGTGCAATCCATGGATCAGCACCAGGGCTGGGATGGGAGGGAAGGCAGGGGATGGAGCCCACTTTGAATCAACCCAGCTCTGACTTTTGTGGCCACCTAGGGAGTGAACCAGTGGTGTGCTCTCTCTCCCACTCTCTCTCAATTCATTTCCTGCTTGTCTCCCACTGACTGTGCCCGGCAGGCAGGGCCTACACCTGTCTTGGTCACAGCTGTGTCTCCAGCCGCAGCCCAGGGGAAGCATGGGAGTTGCTTGTGGGGAACTGTTTGTCTCAGGAAACAGCAGTCAGGAGCTTGTCCTGGGCAGGTCCGGGTCTGCTCCCTGCGGCCACGGGGAGCGCAAGTTTTGGGGACCCGGCCCCTGGCTCCCCACAAACAGCCCTGTGGCCTGCAGCCTTTTCAGCCACTCAATTGTGTTATGTAAAATTCATTCTATTCCCAGTGAACATTTATTGATTTATTTTTTTGAGAGCGTCAGAGTGGGAGAGAGAGGGGGCATTCTTACCCTTCTATTTACTGCCTACCTGCTCCACACGCTGGGGGGCTGGGCCAAATCAAAACTGGGGGCCAGGAACTTAGGCTGGGGGCATAGTGTGGGGACCCCCCCCCAAGCACTGAGCCCTCACTGGCTGCCTGCCAGGGTGCCAGCTGGTAGGAAACTAGAGCCAGGAGTCAGAGCAAGGTCTTGAACCCAGGTCCTCTGGTTTGGGAGGTGGGTACCTTGTTGGGCATATGAACTGCCAGGGCAAATGCCTATTCGTGATGAGCCTTTTAGGAAGCCATGACTAGGTGGAGAATTTTGTCCGATGTTTGTTTTATATCTATTGAGTTGGTCATTTCCCGCCCCATCCCTTTTACTCTATTGAGTAAATAGATCCAGCTATAACTAATACCCAGTTGCGTTCCTGAGCAAGGCTCTACTTGGCCATGAGGTATTGTTCCATGGTGCTCCCGATGGTGCCGGGCTCACAGTGAGCACAGCGGGCTGGGATTCTTGTCTATCTTTCTGTCTCCCTCTCTCTTCCATGTATGCTTTGGTGTTGGCCTCCATTTCTCATATCTGGCAGTGTCCGAGTCCCTGCACCTTCCTCTGCATCTCTCTCTGTTGGGAATAGCATGAGTTCTCCCAGTCCTGCCACCATCTGGCCTGTGTTAAGCCAAAAAGACAAAATATATATATGATCTACAGGAGCCAGTGCTGTGGCTTAGCAAGAAAAGCTACCCCTGTGGCACCAGCAAACTGTGTGAGCACCAGTTTGTGTCCTGCATGCTCCACTTGCTAGCCCAGCTCCCTGCTAATGCACCCGGGAAAGCAGTAGAAGACGGCCCTGGTGCCTGGGCCCCGGTACCCACATGGGAGACGAACAAGGCAATCCTGGCTACTGGCTTTGACTTCGTCCAGCCCCAACCTGACCATCACAGGTACTTGGCAAGTGAGCCCGCAGATGGAAATTCCCTCTGTCTCTCCTTCTCTCTGCAACTCTGCTTTTCCAATGAAAATAATTTTTTTAAAAGATTTATTTACTTTAATTGGAAAGGCAGCTTTGCAAAGACAGACAAGTTTCCATCTGTTGATGTGCTTCCCAAATGGCCACAAAAGTCAGAACTGAGCCAATCCAAACCTAGAAGCCAAGAGCCTCTTCTGGGTCATCCATGCAGGTGCAGGGTCCCAAGGCTTTGGACTATCCTCTGCCGCTTTCCGAGGCCACAAACAAGGAGCAGGATGGGAGGTGGAGCAGCCAGGACAGAACCACTGCCCATATGAGATCCCAGTGTATACAAGGTAAGGATTTAGCCACTGAGCCATCACGCCAGGCCCTCCATTGCCTCTCCCTCGTCAGTTAGGCCAACTGCAAGCTTCCCAATCCTTTGTGTACGTTCCATGGGACTCACAGCACCCTCACCAGGCACTTCCATCTCCAGAAACCATGCTGACTCCTGCAATGAACCAATCCCCTGATGGCTGCTGGGTCCAGTCCTGGTTCCCGCTCCATTCCTGCCACATCAGCTCTGCCTCCCCCCAAGTCATGACCCCTCCCCCAAAACTGTCCCTTGGCAGTGGGGTAAACTTTTTTTTTTAAATAAAAATTATTGTTAGAAAGGCAGACTTAGGATCCAATGTGATGGCTCATTTGGCTGATCCTTTTCCTGCAAGTGCCAGGACCACATATAGCAGCCAGTTCTGGCTGCTCTACTTCCCATCCAGCTCCCTGCTATGGTTTGGGAAAATAGTAGAGAATGGTCCACTTGGGACCCTGCACCCCTGTGGGAGACCCAGAAGAATCTCCTGGGTCTGAGTTGGCTCAGCTGCAGCCATTGTGGCTATCTGGGGAGTGAACCAGCAGGTGGATGAGAAAGAAAAGAAAATTAAAAAAAAAAAAAAGAAAAGAAAGGAAGAAAGGAAGAAAGAAAGAGGGCCCATTGCAGTAGGCTAGCGGCTAAAGTCTCACCTGGAATGCACCGGGGTTCCATATGGACACTGGTTCTAATCCCGGTGGCCCTGCTTCCCATCCAGCTCCCCACTTGTGGCCTGAGAAAGCAGTTGAAGATGCCCCAAAGCTTTGGGACCCTGCACACTCATGGGAGAGTTGAACAAGGCTCAGGGCTCCTGGCTTCAGCTGAGCACAGCTCCGGCTGTTGAGCAGTGGAGCAGTGGGGACTGGAACCCTGTCCACGTGGGATGCAGGCATTGCAGGCAGTGGCTTCATCCCGCACACGAGCTCCTACAGCAGCTCATTTCCAGGCTCCTAT